GGGCCGCCGAGAGCCACAGGGCGCGAGGGGGGTTGCGGGGCTGGGAGGAGACGAAAGGACAGGGACGGGGGTCGGGGGTCCTCGCCATCACTGGGGCAGCGCCTTCAGGATGGCGTTCACCTCCTCGGCCACGGCGGTCAGCGCAAACTCAAACTGGTCCTGGGGAGGAGAGCACAGCATGGGCGCCCGAGAGCCCTGCTGCATCGCGTGCACAGGGCGAGCACCTGGGCTGGACACGGCCGGGGGTTACCTTGGTCTGCACCATGCCGGGCCGTTGGTCGCGGATGTGCTCCAGCGTAGCAGCTATGTCAATCTCCTTCACACCTAGGGCAGAGCGAGGCGGGGATTAGGGCTGGAGGTGAACAACGTGGCCTGGGTGCAGGGGACAACAACAAGGACATGTCCTTGGAAACAGGCATGGGCTGAAGCGGTGCCCCTGGCACGCAACACTCACCTTTGGCCATGCGGTTGAGGACCATGTCAACGAGGATGTAGGTCCCGGTCCTGCCTGCGCCGTCACTGGGGGACACAGGCACTGGTGGAGGGGATGCACGGGGGCTCCCAGCAGCAGGGAGCCCGGGGCAGAGGCCGCCCCTGCCCTGCAGCCCCCTGGCGGGCGCAGAGCCTGTGTCCCCTGCAGTACCTGCAGTGCACGATGATGGGGCAGGAGCGCCCACGGTAGCACTTGTTCACCTTCCTGCAAGGACAAGGGGAGCAGGTCAGCAGTGCAACCGTGCCCTGCCGGGGCGGGAAGGGCCGGGAGCAGGATGCGGGAGCCCTCACGGAGAAGGGCCCGGTGCAGGTGGAGGAGTCGGGCCGGCACGGCTGGAAACTCGATGCGGCCGCGGTGCGGGCCCGGGGGAGCTCTGGCGGGCTGGCTGCAGAAGGCACGGCTGCCAACGATCACTTTTGTGACTATGCAACTGGAGCCAGATTACTAGCTGCAAATCACAAAAATGACGCCGGCAGCTGCGAGAGCGAGGCGGAAAGAGAAGGAGCATGTGCGAGCAGGGCGATGGAGGCCCCGCGGCACCCTCAGCACGGGGGCCTTGCCCCCCAGAGGGGGGTGCACAGCCCTCTCCAACCCCCATGGGAGCCTGCAGCAAGGGGCCGTGCAGGACCGCATACCCGAGCAGCTGGAAGCAGTCCTGCTCCCTGGCACGGGGGACCCACGGCCAGCGTCACAGCACGGGGCGACACGGGGCCCACCC